TAGATAGATGGATGTAGAAATATATTTATTATCATAGTATTTGTTATATACAGTACAGTGTAATAAAATGTGTACTGTAGTTTACTGGTGGCTGCTAAAGCTAAAGTTTATATTTGTTTCACAGTCTTCTATTAAAGAACTATTTTAGTTTATTTTCAATAAATGCAGTCAATCCCTCAGTCGATGTGAATGTTGAAAAATCAACAAATACTCAAGTTAGTGAAGAGCCACCCTTTGACAGACACCAAAAATTGTAGGGGTAAATTGACTCAATTTGCAAAGCACTTTTCGAATCATACTGGCCACACAAGGACTGATACTTATAACCATACTCTCCAAAGGTTCAGGCACAGTTTTCAGATCGGTAGGCACGGTTAGTAAAATTGATTTGTATGTGTTTATCAACTATAAATTCACAAGAAATCTAAAATTATAAAAGTTTTGTTAAGATCCTAACCCAATCTTCTTTCCACTTTGTTTTAAACTTAGTAAAGTGAAATAAACACTGAATATCCCGATAAAAAGCAACTAAAGGTTTCACTTTACTTCCTTTACAAAGATTTGTCCACTAGTCTTCTCTCAAATATCCTTTTTGGTAAAGCCATATGCAGTCCGAGTCCATCAAAATATGTATATACATATTTTATTACAGTCCAAAAAAAAGTATGATGCTTGTTGCACACATTCCAAGTTGTGAAATGACCAGTTAGTTACTTTGCAGGGATTAACCATTTCATAAGGGAGGTTAGCTATTAAAAGAGATTCATAATTTGTGTTTAAATTCAGTAGGAGCTCTCTAAGGGCTTTGGTTGTCATACCATCGTGACCATGGGCCATAAAATAATAAACTCTCTGGATTTTTACTTAAGTCTGAACTGAATTATCGTACAAGATATCCTTTTAGAAAAATGTTTGCTTAGTTTTGAAATTTTATGGGTTTCTTTCTTTCTTTCATACTTTTTTTTAACACAAGAAGCCTTCAGGCTTCTTTGTTGAAATAAGAAAATAACAGAAAGTTAAAAACGATTTAGTTTTTCGGATTCACGTCTTTTATTTGTTTGTTTATATTAACGTATTTTCTTTTAAAACATCCAGGATGCATTCTAACGATATTTTACAGTAGCTTAACAACATGCTTGTTGGTGGTTGCTCAAATTACTTTAGAAAGGGGAAATTATCAATTCATGGTTTATGTAACTAAATATAAAAATATATATATATATATGAAGATAGAGAAGATTAAAGTAGATTTTTCAGGGATAAAATTCTATCAAACAGGTTGAAAATTATTTCCAAAAGGGCCGAAACTGAATTAGAAGATTATATGAAATATACATTTTCATTAGAGAGCAACAACAGTTATTTGAATGCTGCACTCTACACTAAAAATGTTATGTAACATAACTGTGTTTAATACTGTACATAAAGACAGCAGTAGGAAAAATGACTAACTACACCACAGCAAATGTGTGAATTGGCACCAACACAACTTAACTCAACATAATGAATGACTTACTCGTGCAGAAGAGGACGTACAACGGTGTCCCCCCTGGTGTGGGCTTTGTAAAAGAGTGTGTAGAGGTAAGGCAGGAGAGTGTAGCGTATCCTTAGGTAATGTCTGGAGCTCTTTACCAGCACTGAGTCGGCACCGTAATAAGCGGGATCCTGGGGCTGGAGGCAGAAAAACAGATTAAAGCGTTGGGGTTGATGAATGGGAGAGGATAACAAAAAGAAAACAAAGATTTGTCTTTTACCTTCTGGGGAATAAACTGGAAATAGATTTGGAGTGCCAAAGAAACAACTTGTTTGAATAAGGCATGGGAGTAAGAGGATGGTGAAATTGAGTGAAAGTAGGTCAAGAATAAAACCACTTTTTAATAGGATATGTAAGTGGACCCTAAATTTTGCATAATTAGAAAAAATTGAAACGGACTTCATAGATATAGCAAAGAAAACGAGTGAGAAAATGCACTATAATTTAATTTCACAACATTGATGAGTGAGAGGAGGGTTCGCTGCTAACAGGCCATGCTTGTGACATTAGCTAATCATTTCTGCCCCCGGCACCTCTAAGAGGCAGATGAGCAACTAGTGCGAGCGAGTCTGTGTGCGCTCGGTCTTGGCTGCATGGGCATTTGATGAGGGCCATGATTAGGGCAAAGTAAAGGTCACACATTAGCTGTCTTGTTTAGTGGAACTAGAGTATCAGATTCATCATCATCATCTTGCCCCTGTCCTCCAGCAAGCACTAACCCTCATAACATACTTATAGATGACATTTTACCCACCACCAACACCACCACCACCAACC